ATTTTCCCTTTATGCTCTCTAATCATAAATTAAAAAAATAAAAAAAATAAAATAAAGTCCTACTTTTCAAGTCGGAGAACATTTAAAGTTAATTTTTTTTTTCTCTCCCACTTTCTGATTGATAATTCCTTTCCTTGCTTTTCCCTTTCACTTATTACTTGTATAAAAATTCAGGTTTAGGTCTTGTAATCAGGAATAAGTGTATGATTAATGCATGCTTGTTTCTGGGTAATTTAGTTAGTTTAACTGCTTATTTAAACATCTCATTTCCAGATTTCATAATTTAATTATTTCTCCTGTTTAGATGGCCATTTTTAAATATACACTAAAAGATGTCAGAACTAGGCTTTGCTACCAATGTTAAAAATAAAGCAGACAGTAAACTCTTCAGAAAGAATGTTTATAGGTAGATATTTTCTTAATTTAGATTATTCACATGTGGACTATTGTCCTCATTTTGCTGTTATCACATTTTGGAGATGTGATAACATCAACAAAATGAGGACTGCATGTAAATAATGATAACTCCTCATCCCAGAAATTCAGATAGTTTCTATTTCACAGAGGCGTAGATTAACCAGGCAATGCAGAAGGATGGTATTTGGTGCAATGGGAGAAATGCTGCCTGAGGGCCCTGAGCACATTGTTTCTTTGAATGCTTAGGGTAGATTCAGATGGAAAATCTCACTCTGTCTTGAAGGAAGAGTCCAGTTGCAGAGAAATGAGATAGCACTTTAAATTTAGAAGTTTTCATAATACAACTTTAACATATAACAGAATACACACCAGTTTGTCAGAGAATATAGAACCCTTCTAAAACTAGTGTGGTTTCCAATGAGACTGGAGAAAAATAAAAACTTTTTTATAATTTTTTTTATGAAAAAGCAATATGATATTTGACAATATTTTATTGGATGTAAAAAGTGTAGCAGATGTATATAGTAGTATAAGAAATACTGAAAGATTCTGCGAGAGTGGCACAAGTGAACTGTGTAACTAGTGGGAGATGTCGGGGGAAATTTTCAGAATGTAAAAAAAAAAAAAAAATTGGATAGCATACTGAAAATTGTTTCTTGTTGGTAATATCTTAAATTTCTTTTAGGTGATTATTTTTTTTATTTATTTTATTTTTTGAAAGGTCGATTAGGAGATTGGTTTTGCTTTTTAAATGGTTTGTGTAAATAGTTTTTGAACAATAACTGTGCATTTCTTATTTTTCCCCAAAACAATTCTATGTATTTAAATTTTTTTCATTTTAAATATATAGATTTAAAATAAAAACAAAACAAAACTAAACTTTTGTTATCACTTAATAACAAAAGTGATAAAAACAAAGAAAAATAAACTAAATGAAATACTGATAGATCTGCTAAGAAAGTAAAATATTGTAAGAACCTGGGTGCAAATTTACTGTGGATGATTGAGCAAGTAAGCTTTTAAGAACTTGATACTACAAAATCTAATTATCACCATAAATAGAACTAATGTAAACATCTTAATACTAAAGGAGGGAAGTATCTTAGGAATCTTTTGGGTAACTATTCCTTGGAGAAAAAATTGTTGGTGAAACAATTATTTTTTTTTTTTTTTAACAGAAACAATGAAATACACTAAATGTACTAAATGGGAAGACAAAACTGGCACATGATTAAAATATAAAACTGTCTTTTTCAGAGTAAGAAAGTCAGTTAAATTTGTAAAATTAAATAAAACCTTAAAAAGCACCACAAATAAATCAGGAAAAGAAAAAAAATTATTGTTCTCCCAAAAGGGAACAAATAAATCCCTTCTTTTGTCAGCAAAGAATTGGTCTTCTCAGTTTGATTGTGACTACTTCAACAATCTTAAGCAAGTTCTGAGACTGTACTCTGTGCAAAATGTCAAACCAGATATTGACCAGAACACACTGGCTAGTAATTGAGTGACAATCCTATGGCAGAATCCAAAGCAATTGTGTCATCTGTGTTGAACTATGCAACTTGACAGTCTTATAAACATGCTGGTTGATTCTCATAACCAGGCATGAACTTGTTTAACCCACATAATTGGCATCATGCTAACATTTAAAATAATACACAACAGAACTATTTGTAAATGGGTGAATACATGGACAAAACAACAATAATGATGGTCTGTTTTTGTTACATGAAAAATTTCAAAGCAGCGACAAACTCGTGTATATGAGACATGGAAACAAAAATCACATTGAAGCTTGTGATGTCACACATGGCCATGCGAGAGTGAAAATGAGAAGTATTAAGTATGTGAAGCTGTTTTGTCCGTGTATTGTTTGATATATTGAAATGTAATTGCCATCTTTGATAATGGCTTATGTAAGCTGAAAGCTTAGATAAGATTAAAACATGTATCAATATGGTGATTTCCTTTTGTCTTTCAATGATAACGTTATTAAGCTTATCAGACAATATAAAAGGAACTTACTTAAAATAGACAAAACTTGTCTATATTATTTAATGAAACATGCATCAATGAAAAATTGCTGCCTAAATACACACACAGCTATATATATATATATATATATATATATATATATATGCTGCTTCTTGCTTGTTGGAAATCCTCTTCTGTAATTCCAGTCTTTAAGAACTCATCAAACCATCTGATCATTCTAACTACTGGCCTAACCTTCTACGTCTTTTGGGCAAAGTACTATAGGCTCTAATTAACTCTAAATTGCTTAAACATCTCACATTACAGAATCTCCTTTCAGATAAGCAATATGGCTTTTGCTTCTCTAGGTCAACTGCTGTTGTGTTAATTATTGCTGAAAGAGTCTGTCAAGCTTTAGAATAGAAAGGTGAAGTTTGGGCTGTTGCTTTGAATATCTCAAAGTACTTGACCGGGTTTGGCATACTGGTCTTGTTCACAAGTTGAAAGTTTATGGTATTACTGGATGTATATTTGAACTGATTCTTGAATGACCACTCTTCTAAATATTTTGGCATAAGTGCAAGTGTTCCCCAGGGCTCTATTCTTGAACCTATGTCACTTCTGAATTTCATAAATGACCTTATCAGTTATTAACTCAGTATCTTTACTGATGGTACAACTATTTACTCCAAGCTTAATAGTAAGTCTGATCAGTTTGATAATGTCAAATTGGCAGCTGATCTAAAAAATGACCTACAATCTGTTGTTAAATGGATCAAGGAGTAACTTGTTAATTTTAACCCCTCAAAAATGAAACTACTCTCATTTAATCATTTGAGAGAATCCTTTTTACCTTCCCTCAGCATGATACTAACCCTGAGGAGTGATGTTAGTGAAGTGAAATTGAATTTTTTTTTTTTTACAGTGAGTTAGAACGGTATTGCTTCGACCAGCCAAAAATGTGAAACGATTTTTTTTTTTTTTTTTTTCCTTTTTTTTGAGACTAAATTTTACATGTTTTGCAAAATCAAAGTGACTAATTTTTATCAATATTCTTGAAATTGTATCACTCAATTAGAAGACAACTTAAACTACAACCAGGAAGATGTTCATTTCTTCTGACACAAGGAAGCAAATTCCTTAAAAAAGTATAAAGTAAGCGAAAAAAAAAAAAAAGAAATATACAGTAATTCTTTTCTGGTATGCCAATCAAGTATTATCGGCGTTTTATAAACAAGGGAAATCGATGAGTTATTTTTCCCCTAAATAAATTTTACATTTTTATGTAGCGAATGCACCTAAAATTAAATATTAAAAATAATTAAAAGCTTTTAATTTCATTTTTAGAATGTGTATATTTCCAAATCTGCAAGTATTACCTGTTCTTTTTTTAGATACACATTTTAAAACTGAAATTAAAAAGTATTTTAATCATTTTAATCTTACTTAAGTGTATTATTTGCCAAATAAAACGATAAAGATATTTGTAAAAATAAAATGAATTAATTTTCCTTGTTTAGGTAGAACAGTAACAAATACCCACCGAACACTAGTGGCTAAAAAAAAAAAAAAAAATAACTTTTACTTTGGGTTTAACAAAATGGCTTGCAGTTTTGAAAATATACACATTTTAAAACTGAGATTAAAACTTACTTTATTTTTTTCATATCTAATTTTATTTGTAGAAAAGAGACTCGCATATCTGGAAATATACACATCTTAAAAGTGAAATTAAGAACTATTTTAATTATTCTTAATATCTAATTTAGGTGCATTCCCTAGATAAAAACAAATTTATTTATAAAAAAAATCTTCATTCATTTTTCACATTTACAACAACTTTTTCATGATTGGCATAATGGCTTACTAAAACCCTTACAAAAAACCAGACTTCATAAAATTTAACATTAAGATGAAACTGCCAACTATTTTTTTATTTTTATTTTTAAGCATTATTTGTTTTTTTTGCAGTAAAATTTAAGTTAACAACTTAAATTTTACTGCAAAAATTTTTTTTTTTTTTTATAAACTGAAACAAATAGATTTCATATTTTTCTTAAAACTAGTCAATTAAATGTTTTTAACATTTTTGTTCAATCTTTTTCCCTTACAATGGTATAAATGATAATAAATTTAATTTTATTAACATCTGAAAGTTTTTTTCAGTAGTGTTCTTTGGATATTGTCATTGAGTAGTGATATAAAAACAAAACCGAAATGTTCGGTTTTATAAAAATTTGATGCGGTTTCACGGTATGAAGATGAAACCAAAAAAAAATCTTTTTTTTCTTTTTTTTGTTAAACTGCACATCTCTAATATATATTGCACTGAGGAGCTGTGATGCAGCGAAACAGTACTGTCTGCGAATAACACACACACACACACACACATATCTGAATAACTTCCTGCAATTAAAAAAAAATCAAATTTCAACACAAAATTTAAATTGATATTTAAGATATTGCAATTTTTTAAAATTATTTAATGGAAAACCATGTTAATATCTAGTATTCTGTATTTTAGAAGTTAAATGTTAATAGATTGTATTACTTGATGTCAACAAAATGTTGGCAGCTTATTGTTATTAATTTTTTTTTTTCTTTTCCAGAACTCAGTTGGCTTATGCATTACAAGTTCAGGGCCGTCCTGAAGAAGCCTTACAATTTTATAACCAAGTACTGAAAACAAAGTGTGTATCAAGACACTTAGTATTATTTTATCATCAGCATGAATATATTCTAGTTTATACCTTTACTATTTCCAAGTTCTTAATTATTGGAGCAAGTGTTGTGGCTTTAAAAAATTTACACTGATTTAAATTCAAATATAATGAAAGCAATTAGAAACATGTATTTGCAGTACATACATGCTGCAGTTATATTAAAGGTAAAACAGTGATGCTTAATATAAAAAAACAAAAAAAATACACAAAACAGCCAATTTAAGTTATAAGTAAAACAATACTCATGTTACTGCTTTCTGCAACTAAAACTTTCATGTGTACACTTAGATATTGATGCTGCTGTTTTGCAATCAGGTGATAAAAGTGACAAGATACTCAGTTTCTTTTTTTAGTATTTTAAATGAAATTTGTAGATACCGTAAAATCCTACTTTTAAATTTATTCTGTAGCCATTTATATCTTGCTAAATGCTTAAAAAATGAAAATTTACTTTTGCATCTTCTTTTTATATTTAATACGAGTTATTTTTTTCTATTTAGCTAATATTGAATAGAAAATATAAAAATGCATGTCGCTTTTCAATATTTTTTCTTAAATTTTTTAATTATTTAACTAACTTTGTGGGGTTTTATGAATTGTATATTTGTTCAAAGTGTTAAACCTCTTCTTTTGTGAGTAAAATTCAATAGTATCTGTTTTGTTTTTTATTAGCTTTTAGTGAAGATTCATGAATACACATGCATGTGTTGCTTTTAATCAGAATTATTATAAATACAATCACAAGAGTATAGGGGAAAAATAATTTAAACACACCTTTGAAACTGTAAATTGTCTCAATAAAAGAAAAAGCAATGCACATATTCTGGATTCTATAATTAATTTTTTATTTATATCTGAACTGCTGGTAGCTACTAACAAGTATATGCATGTTGCTTTTTTACATTAAAAAATGTACTCTCCAGAATTGCAAGAATGCATTCTCCCCTTATTTGTTAATCGTATAAGGCCATATCTATTTATAAACATTTTTAAACTGATATTAAATTTTTTTTTTTTTTTATCCTAATGAAATGTCAACAAAATTTTCATTGTCCATTTACTGGTGTGAAAGGATCCTTATAAGTTATTGATACCATGAAAAATCCTGTTAAGAAATAATAGTTTACAAACACACACTATATATGTATATAATTTTTTATTTTATTTTGAAATTTATTTTTAATAGACCTTCAGATGTTGGAGTTATTGCTGTAGCATCAAACAATATTGTGACTTTGAATAAGGTATTTAAATCTTTGTTACCTTTGTAAACTCCATTAATTGTTGCATCTACCTTTTGGCTATTGTTGCTTTGTTTAAAAATAGTTTTAATATTACTTTTAAATGTTTGTTATGGATAACTTTATAAAGGAAAATAGTTATTCTATGATGATCATATCCTTATTTGAAAATTAAATTTTTGGAGAAGCTTTAAATATTTAATGTTATCATGAACAATTTTGAATTATTTATTAGTATAATATCAGTTTTTAAAGTGGTTTTTCACCTATTATGTCAAAGAGCCTCATTTTATTTGGTAATGTGATTGATCAAAAAATGATCACCTTATAATTGAATCATTTCATAAAAATAATGAATAGCTATCATACCTGGTTCTGATAAACATTAGTAATTCTCTATAAATTAGTAATCATCTATAAATCAACAGGTATCCTAAAGGGATTAACACTTTTCTCCTTGTCCTTACATGGACATCCTTAATATCTTAGATACAATTCAGAGTATGGCCACAACACATTGAAACACTGGTTCTCATATGATTGCTGAAGTTAAGCAACCTTAGCCTGGTCAGTACTAGTGACCGCTTGAAAATACCAGGTGCTGTAAGCTTGGATGTGTGTTGGAATTGTTAATCAGAGAACTGAGTTTCAAACTGTTAAGTTTATATTCACTTATGTGCAAATATCCCTGGGAAAGGTACAAATTTATTTTCTCCAGTTATGGGTTAATTAGTGAGACTTGTATCACTAAATCATTATTATCTCAAAACATTTCTTACAATCAAAAAAACCCTAATATGATTTTTAAATAACCTGCAAAAAGGTAGATAAGCCTTAGAAAGTAAATGAATCAATCAAAAACCTAGATACAATTCACAAAATATTGCCTGATAGAAAACGTTTTCCAGATTTATGTGTTAGCTTTTGTGTTCATTATCTTTATCAGACATCACTTTTTTCATTTGCAGTTTATTTTCCGCCTACATTTGTAATTGATGGTTTAAATCCTAATTTTTCTTAATTTTTATTTCATTTTAATATCAGTACTTAGTACTATGAACAAAAATACACTTGCTTTTTTTTATTTTCTATCTTCAGGAACAAAATGTATTTGATTCAAAGAAGAAGATCAAAATAGCAACATCAGGCAGTGTCCATCAGAAATTGACATCTATTCAACAGAATAAAATTAAAGTTAACCAGGGTTTATTGTACATGTATACAAACCAGGTTGGTGGGCTAACTTGCTTTCATGAAAATCAAGAATACTATTATTTTCATAGAATAGCTTTCTTAAATAAAACATTTTGTATAGTCTCAAATTTCTGTGGTGAAGCTGCACAAAAACATACATGACAATTATAACATTTGGTATTACATTTTTGAATATGTATAAAGCATTTTTATTTTTCTGTAAGAATTTATAACTAAATCCTGTTTGTGTATTTATATGTAGAAAATAAATATGGTTTTAATAATTACATATTTTCATCACAATTGTGAGAATAATAGTTTGTGCATAAATGTATTGATGTACTAGAAAAAGATTTATTGGAAAAATATATATTGTGTAATTGTTTAGTAGGTGTTTAAAATGTTAACTAGTTTCCTTTCAAACCAAAGTGAAATTGTCAGAATTAATTTCAAAGTGACCATTAAAAATTAAAATTTTTGGTATAGCATATCTCTTTCAAACAAAAATGGAATTGATTACCATTCTAAATTGTTTTAAAATTTTTATAAATGTTAATTTATTTTTGTTTAATTGACTTTTGATATTTTTACAGGGTGACCAAGTTCGCAACGTTATCAAGGAGCTGAAAGATAAATATGAGGACAAAGAATCAGCAGTACTGATTGAAGCTGCACAAAACATACGTGACAAACAAGTTTCCAGAGCCATTGATATACTCAAAGCATGTCCTTTTATAATTTTTAAAATGAAAATGCTGCATCTACAAACTTAAATTATACATTTCCTACAATGATTTACCTTCAAGCTATAAACAATTCTATCATATCAATTTCAGTAAATGAATCATAGGTGACACTGCATTTATTTACAATACTAGAATGAATTTCTTAATTGAATTTTTTACTTAAGGAATTGTTAAGAGATGATGAAAAATCATAAGAATGAAAAATTTCATTTCAATCAAAAAAAAAATCTTTTACACATTTTACTTATTAATATTTTGTAACCCTACACACCTGTCAGCTCACATGTCATTCTTTCCTGTCTTTTCTCTCCTCTTCTTCCTCAATTGCTAGCTCTACTAGTTTTGTTGAATAATACTGACCTTACGGATCATCTGACCTTCTTTTCACTTAGTTGGAGCCAGCCTGTTGTCGTGATAGGGTTGATTCAGATTTACAAAAATCTTATGATATAGGGATTGATGATGAAGTCTAGTGTGGACCCCTCTATGTACCACAGAAAAGATTTCTTAATTACTCTCTGTGGCTCTGGTAACTTTTGTCTCTTATCATCCAAAGACTACTTGGGGAATCAGGACTGGAATAAGAACTCCTTCAAATAAAATGCACAACACTGTTGATAACTGTAACAAAAGGTTTATTGAATATAAAGAAAATCTGGTTGAATAAAATATCTCTATCTACTGCAAAATCAAGTTCTCTGCTACAGGATGGTATTTTGGGAAATCTAGTCGCAAATGCTAAAGTAATAATCAGTCTGTTGATTCTCACTCAATTCTTCTGTCATTGGTGAGTCTGTTTTTGCTCTAGCCATGTGAATTGTGGCTGTGTTCTTTAGTGACTGTCTTACGAGCAATCCCTGAGCGACTGCTCCTGGGCTTGTCTCTGTTTTTGTTCAGCCACAAAAAATGTGAGTGAATTTCTGGTGACCTTTCTTGTTGAATTCATTTTCTGTCTCTTTGGAACTCTCACTTATCCCACCAAATTTGATATTGATATTATCTAATTTCTCTACCCCAACTGTCTTAATCTTAGGAGATCTTGTTAATTAACCATATGGTACTTTCTTTCTTTAGAATGTTTGTGTAAAAATAATTGTGTTCTTGGGTGATCAACATAAACAAATCCCCAACTTAGAAATTAACAAAATTCTAAATTCTTTGTCTAGAAAAAGGCTTCTCAACCTTGCTTACCCCATGCACTCCTTTTAACATTTGCCTTCCCCCACCTCCTTTTCAAGGTGACAGGCCAGATAGGCCAGATTCTATAATTGATCTCCCCCTCTAAACTTACTGTGGTCACAATTCACCCCTGAAAATCCAAAATTCACCCCCTGTTCAGAACCCCTGGTCTAGAATAATTTGTAGGAACACCTACATTTTTTACAGATAGTATAATGTAAACAAACGTCACCATTTTATATATATATATATATATATATATACATTTTTTTTTTTTTTTTTAAGGACCAAAGAAATTCAGACAATACATTAATCATGTTTTCTTATTGGCAAGAAGTTGATAGGGTTGGAAACTTTGGTTTTGCTCAATTTTAATTCTGTCTTGTTAATTCTGGGTTCAATTCTTCATGTTTTATGAGTTTAAAATAATTTTACTCGGTTTCTTTTTTTCATTTTTTTTTCTCAACTATTCAACCTACTCGCTTGAAAATTTTAATAATTATTGTCCAATTAATAGTCCTTTCAAATCCTCATCCTGTAATTTCATGCAATTAAATGTTTAAACAGGGTCAGTGGATTAACTTTTATAGAAAACTTGAGTTAAAATATTCTGATAAAAATTATTGAAGTTTAATAAAATATACAACTTTTACCACAAAATATTGCAAATAACAGTTTGTGTAAGAAAATATAAATCTTAATTCAAATTACCAAGCATCACTTCCAGGAATGGCAAAATTTGAATATATTTCAGTTCTAATTAAAGTAGGCAGTGTCCATATAATAAACTGTCAATTTTATGAACATTGCAGCTTGTCTATCAAACATTTTATTGAATTTTGTTGCATTAGCAAGAGTCTGCAAGATAAATTAGTTAATTAAATCTGGAAAGGAAAATTTCCTCTATTCTGAATTTAATTTAAAGCTATGTATTTCCATGATTATTTACATATTTAGTTGGCTCTTCAGAATCTGGTTCAAATACTGATTTTGTGAGCCAAAAACCAGAATGCTTAATAATACTGATTAATAAAAATGAAAAATTTGTTCATATTTTATGATTTTTCAATTTTGCTAGTCTCATTTTGTAAATGTATTGATACAGAAGAAACATTACTTTTTTTTAATTCTTTCCAGGATTACACCAATGACAAAGGTGATGATAGAGTTAAGTTAACCCTAGCACAACTTTATCTTGGTCAAGGTAGTGTCTTTCAAGCTTGTGATGTTCTTAAGTCAATGGGAGTTATCCAGTATACACCAGGAGTGGTAAGTAACTATTTTATTAAAGGATATTTTATCTTTACTTGAATTAACACTGTCATCTTTTAAAAAAAAAATAATTTATGGGTTGATAGAATGAAGAAGATTGAGATATTATAAAAACCATTTAATATTATTTCAAACTCCAATTAACAGCTGAAATATAAAAAAATTTCATATAATCAATATCTAAAATTTATTTCAATCTGAGTTTAAACTACTTATTACTATAAATTACTACCACCATATCCCTATCACTATACAGTGTGGCAAGCGGAAGAAATGAACCACTGAACCAAAAAAATCAATCTGATTCATCTGAAATTTCAATTCTTTTCAAATAGGTTTGATTACATTAAAGTTAAGTCTTTGGACAGACTGATCTTGTAAATATCTTCATCAGGGAAAAACTTTGTTACACATGATGGATGACAAGGTAATCCATTATGTTGGGATATTTCATCTGTTATAACAGGCAATAGGTGGGACTTTAGCAAAGTAATATATTTTTCATTGTTTGGTATTGGATTTTTTTTTTTTTTTTTTAACTTTCTTGTACCATTGCTTTTGACTTAGCCCTAAACTATTAAACTTCACAACTACAGAATTCTACTGTTTTTGTTGTATTTGGATTGTTTCTTGTACCAAATATCCTTTCTTGCATTAGAATTGATTTCGTTTTCATTGCTATATATCACTTTTGCTCATTTTTCATTATCCCATAACAGATATTCTTTTGCCTGGTGTTTTTTGTTTTATTCAATATTTTTTGAGTTAATGGTTTTTATTTTTGCTGAAATGGATCCATTTAGATTACTTAGATTATACTTCTCAGTGTATGAATTTAACCCAACCAATTGGTACAGTAGAATACACTGGTTGCACATCTGCAGAGGTGTAAGAACCCCCAATTGGAGTCACTCATTTGCCATGAGTGACTCAAGATGCCAGAGGATGGGATCTTGGTGAACTCGATGATCCTGAGTATTGAGAGATCATCAACTGCAACACTCCACTTTGGTTATTACTTGGGCTTTACGGGTGATCAGAGAGGCCCAATTGGATCATTTGTTGTCATGTCAAACTCTAATACTTTTATACACTAAAAGGACTCGGTCACACTCCATTACATAGCCTAACAAATAAACAAACATTTACTCAAACATAGAAGTAAAAAACACAAGTATTAGAAAGCAGTGGCAAGGGTCAATCAGTTAGTTAAGATTTCAACATCACCTTTAGAATAGACTCTGATGCTCCATCTAATTGGGGGGGAGAAATGGAAGACCTAATTGTTGTTTGCAATAACACATTAATATGAGTATACCATTCCTGTATCCTTGGGGTGTTTAGGCAATTGGGTTCCCACCCAAAGCACCTCCCTTCAAAGGGTTCCAGGGAGGGTGTGGAGAAGGAATGATGAAATGTTAAATTAAACTTCCATGGCATGAAAAATTAAGACCTCATCTAGAATCAGACGGTGAAAAAGAGCTAAATAAAACTTATCATTTCAAGTACAATAAATTCATAGAAAAAATTCCCATTCCTAAATTATCATTTCTAACTGCAAAAAAAAAAAAATAGTATTCTGCAATCTCACTTTTACATTTGTTATAAAATTAGCAAATAGTATATGCTTAAAAATAGTTAACATGGACAACTCTTGATGAATTAAAAATCAAGACCTACCCTCACCAATCTTTAAATTCATCCAAAGGAATAATCAGAAGCCATGACTTTGATCCATGTTCTCTAGAGGAAATTAAGCAAACCTTAGAAAACAAAAATTTATAGACATTAAAAGAATAACAATTAAAAAAAAAAAAAGAGCCAAAATATTAACACTAAGACATATACGCTTATATTTAATATCCCCATAACCTCCATCTGAACTAAAAATTGGTTTGGTTTATTTTGTTTTATGGCATATCAACCTCGATGGGTTATTTAATGCCAACAAAATTTTTATTGCTGGTAATGTTTTTCTTCAAAAATTTATTTCTGGGAATATTTTTCCTTGGAAGCTGGTCATATTTTTTCAAAGAATGTATAACTGTTTGTATTGCTGGTATTTTTTTTTTTTTTTAAAGTATTGCTGGTAATAATTTTTATTACAAAGTATTTCTGGTATTTTTACATGAGTTTGGATGTTAACTAATTGCTCATAGCTGGGATCCTAACAGGTGCTACCACCCCGTGTCAGGGTGGACCTGGGAACACCAGCAATTAAGAGGTGGTTCCACGCTCCTCAAAACCTCCTGATCAGAGGCCTTGCTGTTGGACATAGTTTATCGTCTTATCCAGGATGTGGATGTAGTTTATTGTCATACCCAGGATGTGAAATAAAAATTGGATGCTCTATTAAGATAAAAACATACATCACTGGATCACTCAGATCCTTCAACTGCCAAAGATTTGGTCATTGCAAAAACAGATGCTAGAAAACCCCAGTGTGTGAAAGATGTGGAGAGAATGTGACAGACCATTCCAAATTAACCTGCCAAAAACTCTCAAAAATGTTCAAACTGAAAGCAAGAACATATTGTTTATTCAAAGGAGTGCGAGATCTGAAAAAGAGAAAAAGAAACAATAAAAATATACCAAAAAAAAACATCACTTTCTTAGAAGCAAGAAATAGTCTAAAGTACCTTTTACATCTTCATATTTACAAAAATTACAGAAAAAGCTGCCTAAAAAAAATCACCAAGACTAAAAAATGTGGCAAAACTTTGTGAATCAAAATCTGATGAGATAACTTCAGTCATAAATGAACTTAGAACAATACTCAAAGAACTAAAATCCACAACAAAAAATGAATCAAACTCCATACTGACAAAAATTAATCAAATGCCTCCCAAAGAACTAAATCCAACTAACCTAGAAAATTAATACCAAATAAAACAAAAGAAAAAACAGGAATCCTAATACAAAATCAATTTGAGGCAATGGAATTAAAGGAAGAAAAAAAAATACAACACTCCCAGAAACATATTTAATATCAAGGTGCACAGGGGTAAAGGATGGAGGGAAGCTGTAATTATCCTAATAGATTAAGGATGCCTCAAACCCAAATAATTGTTGTCCTATCTCTCTTACCAGCTGCCTTTGCAAAACCATGGAAAGGATTGTAAATGCACGGTTAAGATGGCTTCTGGAAAAACATAACATTGTATCTGAATATCAAAATGGATTCAGACATAACAGAAGCACCATCAATCAACATGTTTGCATCGAATGCTTTATCTGAGATGTAATTTCGGTATTTTTTGACCTTGAAAAGCATATGATACAAGATGAAGTATTGGTATTCTGAAAGATGTAAGCAACATAGGAATAAAGGACAGAAAAAACTTTTCTATCACAATGCATCTTTAGGATCCGTATAGGGACTACATTGTCTGAATTCCACAAACAAGTTATGGGAGTACCTCAAAGAAGCATTCTGTTTGTCACCTTATTTATAATAAAAATAAACAACATTATTAAAATGTTAAATGATGGATTTGAGAAAGTTTTTTTTGTAGACAATTTTTCAGTTGTCTCTTCTCCACCATGTAATACAGAGAGACAAACTCAAAACTGGCTTAACAAAATTTCAAAATGGGCCAACAAAAATGATTTCCAATTTTCTAAAGTCAAAACTGTAGGCATGCATGGTAATAAACATTCCCTACATCCTGATTCTCAACTAAAAGGGAATAACACTGGTCCAGCAAAACAAATACCTAGGGCTTATTTTTGATAAGTTAAACTTTAGAGCACATTGATTACCTAAAGCAGAAATGCCTAAAAGCCCTAAATTTAAAGGTCATTTAAATTTAAAGGTCATATTAAAGATGGATTAGGAAGCAGACTGAAAAGTAAAGCTTCAGTTACTCTTATTAGGTGGAAACTGGACTATAGATGTATAACTTATAGTAAAAATACATTATTCATCAAAAAAGTTTTATTTCTTCAGAAATTATGTCCTTAATATAACTTATTTACAAAAGCAAGTAAAAGCTTTTCTAATTAAATAATGTCAGATTTTTTTGCTTTTTTACAATTCAGAGCAGATTTTCAATGAAATGTAACTTTTACAAAAAAAAAATGGTGATTTACTTTCTCTAAAGAGTCCTGTTTTAACTAATAAAAAAAAAAATCCTACTATTAAAAATTTAATTTCTTGAATTTTCATGAAAATATGTAAGGGGGTGGTAACATATGTAAAAAAAAAAAAAAATAAAAATTCAAAAATAACTTCATTCATTTCTGAACATTTCCTGAAAGTTTTATTAAAATCTGACGATTATTTGAATTTTGCAAGAATTTCAAAATCAATGTGTTTTCTTTGGGAAAAGCGCAAAGTAAGACAAACTTTTTTTTTCTCTTGTTCGCCGCTGTTGTAATAAAAAACAAGAAAGGAGTAAAAAATTTTTAAAAATAATAAAAAAATACTTTGGTCTTTCCTCTTAATAATAACAAACATTTTGATGACAAAACTTTGTCTTCATTGAGTTTGGAGCCTTTTATCATCATGCTATGCTGCTTTTTTATGTGACCTAGCGGAGGTACCTAAAATTAACTATATTAAACTGACAAGATAAAGTCTCCAGACCTTATGCAATCTGTGTTTGATCATTTAACATGAGAAATTTGCATGCATGTCTTAAACTATGATGATGTTTATATTGATGAGTGTCAAGTAGCTCATAACTTTTGCATGCTTTATTTGCAGTATCAGGATGTGCCCAGGTCTTTGTCTCTCCATGTATTGTGTTCACAGGAAAACAGCAGCTTACATTACAGTCCTTAATGACCATAGATACTACTTGTGAAATTACACTGTTGAATACTTACAGCTTCTTACTGAGGATTAACCCAATTGATTTTTTTAGCTAGGTGGTTTATTTCTTTTGCTCACTACTATATGGGGGAAAAAATATACATGATTTCATCACATGACTAAAATGATCTTTGGGTTTAAAAGCATTTTAACATGTGTTCCAAGATTAAAACATTTTATTGATGTTAGTTTTTAGTTTTACATGACTAAATTCATTTCACCACTCATGTTCACTTCAAAATTAAGGACCATTAACAATGCAAACGTGCCATTGATTATCTTTTGTGTTCTATTTTCTTTCCTTGAAAATGATCAAAAGTACTGTGTAAGTTATACACAATTTCAGGAAATTCCTTTATGATATCAAATAGCTTGTTTGGCATAAAAAAAAGATTACCAAACATCCTTGTTTATTCTATTTAATAATATCTGTTTAAACAGGATTGCTGTTTATATATCAGGTCATCCCATAAGTTCTGTCCGAATTTTGAATAAAGAAAACAAGTGACCAAATGTTACATTTAATTACAGATTCAGTAAACAATGTATTTTCCCTGATTATCTATGACTTCCTTCCATCTATTAACACGCTTACTAATTGTTGTAGAGTATTTTTCACAGTGGAGGCTTGTATTTCAATAAGTTGTCCTAGGAACTTGAAATAAGAGTTAATGACGCAGCAATCTAGTTGTGATGGTTGATACTTCAATGTCCGACATCGACTGACTCGCTCAACACCACTGAGCTCAACTGGCGACCGCTACTACTACTACTTATTATGTGTGGGAGAGTCTATTAATAATAGAATAGGTACGTTCAGGTATGACACTAATTCCATTACTGTAAAATTCTTTTGGCTTTGATTTGAAGAACTCACAAATGTCAGTTTTAACCTCTTTCTGTGTTACAAAAGCTGTTTCTTTCAAATGATTCTGTTAGCTACGAAACAAATGGTAGTCTGAAGGAGCAAGATCGGGAGAATAAGGTGGATGAGGAATTTTCTCCCAACCAAGTTCTTCGATCTTTTGTGATGTGATTCTTGCTGTGTGTGGTCGTACATTGTCCTGATGAAACATCACCTCTTTTCGATTCTCTAGAGCAGGTCTTTTTTTCCTCAAAGCTTGTTTCAAACGCTCTAATTGCTGACAGTATATTTGAGCATTAATTGTTGCATTAGGTGTTAAGAATTCAAAGTGGATTATTCCTTGGCGATCCCACCAGATTGAAAGAAGAACCTTTTGTCCATGAAGTTCCCTTCTCGGCTGTGGCTGGGGTCCTTCCCCTTTACCAAGCCACTGTCTACAATGCTTAACATTTCGATAAAAGATCCATTTTTCGTCACAAGTCTATCCAAAAAAGGTGAAACAAGTTGGCGAGACTGGAGATAAGAGCAGATGTCAACTCTGGATTTGAGGTTGTTTTCAGACAATTCATGAGGCACCCATTTTCCAAGTTTTCCAAGTTGTTGAAGATGATGATGAACAGTTGTATGGTTTGAACTGAGAACCACTGCCAATTCCTCAACTGATAAAGCAGGATTTTCTTCAAGGGCTGCTTCAAGAAGCTTTTCATCAAACTCAACTGGACGTCCGGTTCGATCTTCAAGGGTGAAATCTCCACCTCTGAATTTTGAAAACCATCTTTTGCAAGTTCTTTCATTCACACATTCCTCTCCATAAACTGAGTGAATGTTTCTAGCTGCTTCGGCTGCTGAGTTTCCTTTCTTGAACTCATAAAGCATTATGTGCCTCAAATGATTCTTGGGTACTTCCATGTTAGCAGGGTTTTAATCAAACAAAATTTTAATTTTATTGTTCTCTGAAATAAAATTTGATCAGTTTAAATGCATCTAAACATAAAAATAATGTTCAGCTCCATTAAACATTATAAAATACTCTTTTTAAATTTTGTTCATTTTAACAAAAAGTTAAAATTCGGACAGAATTTATGGGATGACCTGATAGATATATTAATTATGGTATATTTAGTACATACATACATATATATATATATATATATATATAATATCTTTGTGATGGCATTACTTTGTGAATCTTTAACCAGCTAAGATTGGATTTTTTTTTTTTCCCTTTAACTCTTTCCAGTGGAAAGAAAATTGACAGATGTCTCATTATACAATTTTAAGTGGTTAAACAGCTATGGGAAGATATATGCAAAAGCTATTTAATATGATCCTCAAATAGTGACTAAACAGATTTTTAATATCTCAGCAAAAAAATATTTTGGTATTTTTTTTAATGTTCACTTATTTCAGTACTGAGAAAATTACTCTCTTTATATATTAGGATTTGGAAGAGAAAATCCACGTTAATGTTTTTGAATGGCTTGAGAAAAGTAATGTTACATATTTTTTCTGTTTCATATTATCTATTTTGTGTTTGATTTATAGGTATGTTGTTTTGTTCAATGGATGTAAATTTCATTATCTTTTTCTTTTTTTTTTTTTTTTGACAAAATCTCATTAATCATATTAAATATATAAACACTTTGCAAAAGAAATGTAGATTTTGGTGTTCTGTATAATTTTATTTACTATTACTGTTTTAATCTTAAAATATTTAGCAAAAAGACTTAAACTTTTCTTTTTGTAGGTGTCAGCCTTGGTTACATTATATATGAGTCAGGAAGATTATCAATCAGCAAGCAAAGTGTTTGATGATGCAGTCAACTGGTGTAAGACAAAGGTATCTAAAATATGTAATTAATAAACTGGTACTTATACTTTCACAAAATCTCCTTCATGTATTTCAAAGTATGATTGACAAAAAGAAAAAATGATTTTAAACTGAAGAAAGAATTTTTGACATTCATTTGACAGTAATATTTAGATACTATGAAGATGAGTCATAAATAATTACTGTTTTTCTTTATCAAATTTATTCTTTAAAAAATGAAGTCCAATTACATTTTATACAATTATACATATTGTATATTCACCATTATTTGAAATGACTTGTCAATATTTGCAGCTCCTTGATACCCTTTGCATAAAATTCTGCCGGTTTAGATGAAAAAAAAATTTTTGATGAAGTCTTTAATCTAATTTTCATTAAAGAAAGTTTTCCATGTCAAAGCATTTTGCAGTGATCAAAAATGGTGGTAATTAGTTGGTTTGAGGTCAGCTGAATATAGCAGGTGGTGTAGACCAATTGAACTTTTATGAACATATGGCTGCTGGACATAAATGTACATTTAGTGTGACATTGCATTTTAAGAACTTTAAATGAGTAATACTCTAATGATTCCATTTTTTCACACACACCTTTCGTCCATGGTGCTTATCTTTTGAACTTGGTTCTTGAGAATTATGTGTCAATCCACTGCCTTTTGCATTGCTGTATGCTAGGCTACTCCAAATTTATTTCTAATAGCAAGTAGATTAGTAGTTAGAATGATACATTACAATTGGTTCCCAAAAACAAAAAAAAATACTTATGATTCAACCTAATAGTTTCACCATGCCACCAAAAATAATATATATTTTTCCAGTTAAGGTAAATTGTAAGATATTGAAATAATATTTTTATATTTTTTTTTATTTTTAAGGAGATATTGAAAATATGATGAAAATGTGATTGTTTGATAGCTCATTTTTCATCTCAGAAAATAGATTTTCTTAAATTTGGACATGGATTATTTGATAATTGGGAGAAGTGGTAAGTGTAATTTGTGCAGAAAGTAGAATTGGTAAGCTGCATTCAAATTCCAGGATTAGCTGTTGCATTTATGTTTGCATAAATGCTCTTGGAAAATCCTTGAAGCTCATCCCCCACCGCACCCGTTATTGGATAAATGTTAAAATAGTGTGGGTTTTGTAATCTTTGGTGACAGCCAGTCTAAAAATATCTGAATTCCCAGCCATGGAGAAGACAACAGGAAACCACTTGGTTATTTCCTAAGAAGACATGGCACCACACAGACGATAAAGGAAAGGAATCTGTGGAAAACTATGATCACCTACATTATGAAAGGATATGGTATTTTTATTTTTAATATGTATTTAGTGGTTATTTTTATACTTTTATTACTTTTAATTTGACAATTTGTAATCTTAACTAATTTCTCTAAAAAGCATTTTCACGTAAGAAGAAAAACTTCATTTATAGTATTGTTTTGTGATTATCATTTAAGTATGGATAATTTATTTGTTTTAATTTAAATATTTTTAATTCGAAATCTTAGCCAAAAAGTGATGACCTCATGATATTGATGAGAGCTAATGCCAACTTTCACATGAAACATGGTGATCCCAAGCAGGCAGCTTTTCTTCTTGAACAGATTTCTCAGTAAGTATTTTGATTTATATACATGAAAAAACTTAATAGGAAATCAAGACTCGTCATTTTAAAACTTCATTAAATACTCAGCTTCTTTCCTAAATACAACACATTTGTCTGTATATGCAGTAAAAACTTTGTATTGATTTGCATTCTTTGTAAATAAAGATTTCATTGTAATTTGATGTTTTCAGTTTTAAAGAATATTTTTAAAAATGTTTTAAATCCTAAGAAATAATTTCATTTTTTTATTTATTTATTTATTTATTTATTTATTTATTTTTTTTTTTTTTTTTTTTTTGGATATTCAAGTTGTAAAACTCTGCAAAGAACATAGAATATTTGATTTAACCTCTCTGTTATATCACATTTGTAAAACAACCAGTGAAAAGAGGTGGATTGTCTTTAAAATGTATTAGAACCTTTTAATATGTTCATATTTAAAAACACATTATTTCCTTGGGTAGCCAAACATAATTTAAAAAAAAAAAAATCATTAAAAGTATATTGCTCAATTCTTTCTTGAAAAATTTTCTCAAGTTACTTTTTAAGCTTCTAGACAAAAAGACAGCATTTCATTTTGTAGGGTCAGTATGTAATGTCTATGAAATAACTAATATATGAATGAATAATTTTACTGCACTAGGTTAGTTTAGCGGATTAAAGTTGGTTTGGAAATTTGGTGACATAGTAATTGTGAATTCAATCCCTGAGCTGAGTAATAGAAACACTATTAAAAAGAAATATTGTGATAAAAACAATGAAGACAAAAGCATTAATCTGAATATAATGTAAACAATTTTAACATAGATTATATTTTGAATTTTATGCAAGTTTTATCCAACTTTAATGCTATGGCACAATAGGTTCTCCATATGACTGGCTGAACACTCATAAAACCTATTGGGCCCTAAATTTATCGGAGTTAGAAGTGTTTTTTTTTTAACAACTGGAAGATACTTTGAAGTCCAGAGTTCAAAGTGGCAAGCCACTTGAGTGAAGGGAAAGAAAATAATATAGAAATAAATGAAAAAGGGATCAAGTAGCATTTTGTCAGAAACCAGATGTTTCCACTGGTAGCCCTATATAAGTAGAGTCCAGTCTAGGGCTAGACAGAGGAGTTGTCTGTCCAACCAGTCCTGTTGGTTGCAATTGCTTGGCTGAAGTAAGAAGAGTCGATGGTCTCTATGTGCCATCTACCTACTGCCAAAGAGAATACTAGGTTTAACCAGAGAACCTAATTGAAATAATCACCAATTGTTTACAATTAGATTTCTATATTCGTCTTGATATGGATTTCATCTTCTAGTCCTTATGGACGAGTTTTTCAGTCTTTCTACACACAGCACAAACAAGTGAAACCCAACGTGGGGATTGATTTGTCCTGTTGGTGAAAGACAAGAGTTGTCTGTTCACAATGCAAAAAAAAAAAAAGGAAAAGTCAAATCATTAAACAAGTTATAACTTCTTAATATTAACCATGTTTTTTTTTTGTTTTTTTTACAGAAATAATCCTAAAGATTCACATATATTGGCTCAGTTATTTTCTGCCTATTCTCTGTTTGATCCACAAAAAGCTCAACAGTATCCTTTTGATGTTCTTTCTAATTTTTGCCTATCTGCCCAGAAATCATGTGACATATAAAAAAAAAAAAAATACACTTTTATTATTTACTGCCCAGTAGGGTTTTAGTTATCTTCATGAAATTTTGGGTTATATATTCATGAATCATGCTTTAAAAAGCTGGCTATTGTAATTAAATTCATATATATATATATAATATATATAATATATATATATATATATATATATATATATATATATATATATATATATATATATTCATATTTTTCTTCATATATCTTTTGAATAGTATAAATTAGTTTTTTCATTCAGATTTTTTAAATTTGATAAAAACAGTGAATTTTAATGCTATATTTCTATTCTATTTCTATTTAATTGCTTCAGTAACTACAAGAGGGTTATAGGGTTCCTGGCTTTAAAAAACCTTTAAAGAATTGGTACAATATATCAAAATATGCTTTTTAAAAATAAATGTACTTTTGCAAAAGAATCTGTTCATAAATGAATTTGAGGAATGAACCAGAGGAAAAACTTTCATTTTTTTTGTGCACTATAAAGGGTAGTATATTTTCATTCTCAATTATTGGTCAGTTAAATGATTTTGATGTCTGAAATGTTCAATTAAAAATAATTATTTTGTAGAATTTACATGTAAAGCATGAAAAAATTTTCTTAATTTGAAAACTTTATTTTTAGATTTTTATCAAATGTTTTGCATGTTATTTTGTAATTCCTCTTGGTATTTAGGAATGGTGCAATCTACTTTATTTCCACCAAATTATCAAAGAATTGAATGAAATCATTGTTTCTGTTAGTTTTACTGTGATCATTTCAATACCTTCAGTGCCATAGCCCTGAACCTAATGTGTATTTGTTCCTTAACATTTTACAGAATGAGTCGACAGTTGCCATCAGTTGATGAAATAATTTCTGGTGTTGATGTGGATGATTTGGAAAAAGCATTTGGAACTATGGGTCCAAAATATCTGAAAAAGTTACAAAAACCAGAGCCTTCACCTGCAACGTAAATGCTTTGCCTTCATAAATTTGAATTTTCTTTTGTAATTGAGCAATAATGTGCCTATTTTATATTCATTAGGAAGCAACACATGAAGTCTTATTGTAGTATAGATGAAATTTAGAACATTTTGAAACAAGAACTCTATTTGCAATTCAGTATACCAATTGAAGTCAGTTGATTTTTATTCTGGTTTGAAATAGTTTTCATAACTTATTCACACACACACACACACACACACACACACACACACATATATATAAGTTAAGACTCAAACACTAAAATATATTATAAAAACAAGGAAGTAGTGTAAGTCTAGATATGAAGGGTGGTTAGGGGAGAAAGTAAGAGAAAATAATGGGGAGAGAAGAAATGACCTATTTATTTTATACCCAGTAGCAGACAGAAGGCAGTTAGATACCCTTCAAAAACCTATTAACAAAAATATTATTATATTAAATATTGAAAGGTATATTAAAATAAACAATATATCAGAAAAAATGAGAAAAATATAAAAATTGAAATTAATATACTGAAATCATTATAATTATCTAAGGACGTATCTAACATCTACATTTAAATAAACATTTAAAGTTAAACCTATATTAAATAATTCACATCTACATTGAAAAAAATTTAATATTTATCTAATATATAATATAATGAACCAATAAGAGGAAGCTTAAATAAAAGAAAAATCTACACAAAAATTAGAAAAAGTGCCTTTTATAATAAAGTGAAAGATGTCTTTAGAATAAATTTTAAAAGGTAACACTATATAATAAAGTAACTTAATTAATAGTAAAAAAAAAATTGAATATATTAAATATTACATTAAAAAAATTCCAATAATTATTAATAGCATTATTAATAAAAAATACATTAAAAAATATATAAACTCCTTATTTTATTTAAGGAGTTAATACATTTTTTGAAAATCCATCATAGTATAATATTTAACTTAAATATTATACTAAGGTAAATCATCAAATACAATTTCATGAAACCAAATAATAGAATATGTATCAGTAAAATACACTTAAATACTACATATCAAAATTATATTTTAATGTATACACCACATATTAATATATTAAAAAGACCTATAATGTTAATAAATTTATAAATACTTCATAAATAATCATGGCAATTGATTAAATTAAATATATAAAACTGAGCCTATATAAATATAATTACACAATAAAACATCAAAAAAGTTATATTCTAGTATATTATTACATAATATAGTTATAAAATTATAATAATTGTGTACTTATCACATAAATTAACCCCTTTATATAATACTATCATATAATATTGAAAAAAGTAATATATCAGTTATATATAAAAACATATATACACATACATACCTACTAAAATCCCTTGAAAAATATATGGAAATCCATTTAAAATTATAATGTAATAAGAAAGGAAAAATGGGGAAAAAATGAAAATAAAAAAAAGGAACTATTAAGTTATAAAGATAAGTCAAAAATAATTCAAATAAAAAAAAAATATAACCGATAAATCAAAAATACCTTATAGTAAGAAAATAGAAAAATGATGACAATAGGGGTAATATTGAAGATATTATTGAAGGTCACCAAGGTATTAACAATAATTTAGTGATAAGAAATTTTGGAAGGATATAGAAAGTATAGTGGAGAAGCAGAATATACAGTGCAATTGTCAAATGACAACAGTTCATGCAAATTCAGTCAAGAGGGAGGAGAAGCAGAAATCACAATGTAATTTTCAAATGATGACAATTCACACAAGTTCAGTAAGAGTCTACTGAAGTTTAAATCTACTTCGGTGACATTTAGATTAATTCATTCCTTTGGTTAAACAGTATATTTGGACCTCCAAATTTAATAATTTTAATTTTCTCTTGTAGGCATACAACACATCTATTTTTAAAATTACTGGGAGTGTGACCAAAACCTATGATTTTCCAGTCAATCTGAGAGTTCAGTTCTTTCTCCTTCAGTTCCCAAAATATTTTGGAAAGTGCAGTCTGGAATTTAAATTTTGGGTTGGAAAATGAGTGCTGATGGTTATATAGTTGTTGTTTCTATTCACCCACGGAAATTCCAATGTAAATCTTGTGGCTGTTCTTATTCTCTTTAGGGTAAATGGTTGCCTGGTAAATCACATTAGAGACTCTGCATTTTTCTTCTATTGGACAGAGTTCACTATTTCTACAATTACATGGTGTATCCATATTAGGTAAATTGTTGATACCATAGAATTTATATGGGAATCAATAATATCATAATTATTTATACAGGAATAAATTATTTTAATAGTTTTTCTTTTGAAGACTCTACTTAGGGGTAGTTATTTTTTAAATATTTATTTATAAGTTTTAAGAACACTTGTCCGATGTTAATTTTGGATAACTTACGGAAGTGGTGGTTGAACCATATTATATTTCTTTTTCTATTTCTATGCTTATTATGACTCTCCTCTACCTTAATAGTTAATTTTTAAAACCACTTTTTTGGAGTACGCTATTCTACAGTCCTTTGTTTTTATTAAATATATTTTTATCAGAGGAAATCTTACACCAACGGTGATAGGTATCTGCCTTAAAACAGTATCAGGGTGGTTTGAGTCTACATTAATGTAGTTAGGAGTTTCATCATCCTTATGGTAAGGTATTGGTGTTCAGGTTAAGAGTGATATGTAAATAATCTACAATTTAGTTGAAATTTCTATCTTGAATTCCAGAAACTTAAAAGCATTAATAATTTTTTTCTGTAGTTTAATTGTGAGTTGACCATTGCTATTAGGAACATAGATGAGTCCGTTTCTCTATATAGACCTACTTGCTTTGTATCTACGATTCTAGTAAGGATCTAAAGAATATATAGACAAATAAGGTCAGCTACCTGGGCCGAATCATATGCTCTCATTGGAACGTCAAATTCGGGTGTAATTGTTAAGTGTCAAGACTGATTTCCTGGCAGTAAGTATATATATATATATATATATATATATATATATATTATTTGGTAATCCATATGGATAATTCCAAAGTGGATATAGATCCAGAGAGCTCAATAATAGAACAAATAATAATTATGAAAGCTGCAACTTTAAATGTTCATGGTAATATTTTACTTCATTAAAACTGATACTTCAGTTTTAACTCAATAGACCAGACATTTTCACAAAATATGGATTTAAAATTTTACCAGACACAAAACATTTATCTAAACATAACTTATGCTTAAATATGTAGATTCAAAAATGGAGGAAAGAGAAAAAAATGTGGATGTGGAATAAAATGGAGGTAGTAGAAGAGAGATTTATTCAAAACAGGGAAGAGAAATGGGAGAAGAGAGAGCGATATGTCTGTTTAAAGAGATATGTATGAAGTTGTAGGGATGAGAGCAGACATGTTGTCTATTTTTACTGGATGTCGGCATTGAAGTAGAGAGGATATCATCAAATGGGGATAGAGAAAAGAGACAGAGGAAAGGAAAAAGAAAGAAAGAATAAGAGAGGAAAAAAGGGAAAACTTGAGATAAGGCTTGGAGCCGGCAATCGTCGGTGTATAACATTGAATAAATTTTCTGTCTTTTCAACGAGTCATTGTTTTAGTGATTTCTTCTTATTGAAGAAGAATATGTATGAAGTGGCTGAAGAAGTTTTGGGTAAATTTCTAGCAAAATCTCAAGACTGGTTTGATGATGATGCTGCTATCAAGGAGAACATTGCAAGAAAGAATCAGGTATGGAATTCAGTGTTGCAAAAAGGCCTGTGCAAGGAGTTTAATGCTGCAAAAACAGAAACTCAACATGCTCTTTGAACTATTCAGGAAAAATGATGGTCAGAGCTAGCAGATGAAATACAGAATGCAGTGAAGTCAAATAATACCAAGAAGTTGTACTGCTTGATGTAACAAGTATTTGACCCCAGAAACATCAAGATCACTCCTCTCAGGACAGAGGTCAGCAATGATCTCACAGACATGGATGGCATAGCCAAAAGATGGAAGAAACACTTTGATGGACTACTGAACAGGTCTTCAAATGTGGATCCTAAGGTTCTTGAGAAGAGACCCTAAAGACCCATAGTGGTAGAACTAGACAGCAAACCATCACTGGGCAAGATTCTGTCTGGCATGTAGGTATTCAACAGAGGTAGAGCTGTTGGGTTTGATGGCCTTCCTGCCGAGATATTCCGTTATGGTGGAACACATTTAAGTCAACTTATGCCTGATCTTATTGGATTGGAACGATGGAAAAGTGCCAAAAGATTGGAGGGATGTAACAATGATACCTATGTATAAGGGAATTATGCCTGGGAGTTATGTAGTAATTATAGAGGGATTGCTCTTCTTTCTTTGGCAGGTAAGATCTTAGCCTTTGTTCTCCTATTAAGATTAAACCAGAGCATAGTTGCCAATATACTGCCTGAGTCACAGTCTGGTTTCTGCCAACACAGAGGGATTGCAGATATGATTTTCACAGCACAACAAATCTTGGAAAAGATCTCTGAACAGCAATTGGATCTTTATCAAATATTTGTAGATCTGAGAAAGGCTTTTGACACTGTTAATCATGCTGGTCTTTGGAAAATCCTCTTGAAACTGGGTTAACCCCCACCCTCCAACACATACATACACACTTTCTCAAAATTCTGAGGTCCTTCCATGACGGTATGGAAGCTTGTCAGTTTTGGCAGTATGCTTACAGGGCCTATCAAGCTTGAAAATGGAGTCAAACAGGGAGATCGCCTGACTCCTACATTGTTTTCTATCTACTCTGCAATTGTACTGCTTGATGTGTTTAGGGACTGCCATGATGGTATTATAAGGTACAGGTCAACTTGGCAAGCTTTTCAACATACATAGGTTTGCAGCAAGGACAAGTCTTTTTGAGATTAGTGTGCAACCTTCTCTATGCTGATGACTGTGACCTAGTCACACACACAATTCAGCATGCACAGGAGTTCATGGATCGACTATCAGGGTCATGTAAAGCTTTTGGACTGTC